GAAAAGCATATTTTTTTGTTATAAAAATATGGGTCGTTTAAAATCAATCAACAATTTGCGAAAAAGTCGGTGAACATACAAAAAATACATCGCTGTCAAATACCTTCTCCTTTTGAAATTTGAAGTAGGTTAAAAAGGTATTGAGCCTTGAATACTCACTTAATAGAAATGAAATGTAAGTAAAATTGGCAAAACGTATAAGTAAATAACACAGCTTTTTAACTTTCCACTCCATAATATGAAAGCGAAAAGTTAAAAACCCATTCACCTGACCTTGCCGCAAGTATTTCTCGTCCTTTAAAACTCCGGTTTTTGACAATAAATGTCCAGGGTCCAGAAAGTACCCTGTTCATTACATGGACAAAGGCGAGTGTTTTTCAGGTTAAATTGAGTGTAGAGAGGCAATCCGAACTGGGCGTCTGGTCACGACACCGCACTCTGACAGACGGATTTTTTAATTTTTGGCTGCAAGCCCGCTATCCGCCTTGTTATTTGTTTTAACCATAGACTAATTCCAACTCATAGAAAAACTATTAGAGAAATTTACACTATATAAATATAGATATTTTCTAATTTGAGAGGAAAAATTTTACTGTTTGTTTTTTCTTTCTTTGCCGAATAGGCTTCGAAACTACTAGACTGATTCTAAATATTCTTTTATAATTTGTCGAATAGATCCCACTGCATAGCACAGGAATAGTCACATGGAATTCGTGCTTCGTTTTGATTAGACATGAACACATGATGAAAGCAAAAACGGCATTAAAGTAGAATAAAAGCTTAGAAATATGATTGGAGTTGAGTGATGGAGTTCTAAATAGTGTGATAAGAGAACAATGTAAAATAAAAGAAGATGTAGCAATAAAAATCGAAAAAGGGATGCTTAAATGGTTTGGCCAAATTGAAAGGATGAGTCAAAGGCAGTTAACAAAACAGATAATAAGGAAGGAGTATGATAAGGAATATGTTAAGGAGAAGACCTAAATGAACGTACCACGACCAAATCGTGGACGTATTAAAGAAAGGTTAGGTTAAAAGTACCCTAAACCAGCGTTCTTGTATAAAAATGCGTCTGGATGTTATCGAGGTATGTCAGGATTGTGCAAAATTAAAGGAGGTGGTCTCTGCGTGCCTCGCGGGCAAATAGCGTGACATTATAGAGATAAATAGATGAATATGATCACGCAATTTTTATGCAGTTAACGAATTTACTAGTTTTTAATTTCTAGAGATTTTTCTGCCTGTGCAGCAATCGTAAAATTAAGTACCTGTCTACCCGTTATTAACACTGTGGTTTATATAAAAAATTACGAGTACCTAGATAGAAAACAGGTTGCGAGTTGCGTTTGAATTCGATATGATGAAATAGGTTTTCACTGTAACGGTGAGTTACTATTGAATAAAAAAAAACAATAACAGATTTTTTTAAATGGCACCAATATACATACAGGTAGGTATTATAAATGAATAACTCATCATAAGTTAGGTACTGCTTTCATAGCTATTTTTATGCAGGAGATAGGTAAAGTTGTCACGGTCTTTTCATTTGACTTTCGGTACCTTCACATTCATTTACGCTCTCGTGACAGATAGATAACGTTATCGTCTGATAAAAAATAGGTCAAAAGACCCAGTTTTGGCTGCTGCTCCCCTTTGACCATTTGGCACTTCAAAGCTTCTAACTAATTTATAGGAAAATATATTACTTAACCGTTACCGATTTTTAAAATATTGTATTATGGCAAATTATCATGGATGCGGTTGGCCTTAATGCTATACGGAGAAGATTATGACAAAACGTATACCATTAACAGCTGTAATGTATCAAAGTTCACTTCCTCGAACTTTTGGCCATAACCAAGTCATAATCTTAAAATGGTGAAAACCACGACAACCACCCTTATTTATTGTTCACTTATTACAATTAAAACGATATTTATTGCCAATGCCAGTGCTATTATCAATTTATACCAAGGTATACCACCAAACTGATCGTGGAAGACGCGTTTTCCTTCCTTCGCCGGCCTCTGAATCCTTTTACTTTTAAGTTGTTACTGTCTGGAAGTATATGTTGGCTGACAAACAGAGATAGTAGAGAAATTTTGTTTTATAATACAAATAATACAGTAATATGTTAATATTAATGTTGCGTGAGTCTTTCGGCAATCTTAAACATTTACTTTACTTTGCATCTACGAATTATTAATATCCTTGCATTGATATTAAATTTCACGAAGCCAAATACGAGTAATTGAAAAACCGACGAAAGAGGAAGCACACACACTGAAACATCAGGTAACTTCAAAGGCTACTGCAATTGATTTCGAACCTAACTATTAAAAGATCAAGTTTTTAACCCGCTTAGAGAAATGTAGCGTTTTGTAATAATTTGACGTGTTGTTAACTGTACTTAAATTAAATTTCAAAGTTAATATTTGAAACTGAGGCATACTTGTTAAATAAATATTAGACATCACATACATTATTTCGTGTCTAACTAAAAGTAGTTAAATGGAAACATCAAAGGTACCAAAAGATATTCATTGTATCAACAACAGAGAGTAGAAACATAATACCTAGACACAACCTTTTTGCCTATTTAGGTACTCTTACGAAAAAGCAATTTCTTTTGGAAACTGTAAATAGTGAAATCAGTAAGAAAGTATTTGCTGGATATGGTTTATAGTCAACTGAGTAATTTGCTGCCGACTTATACTAAAATCATTTTAAGAACTCAGCAGCCGAACGGCTAAGCTATTCTATAATAAATCAGCATTAAACCAGAAGTTGAACACAGTGCTGTCACAGGAAAGAGGTTCAATAAAATAAAACTTCCTTAAAAGGCAATAAAGGCTTTATTTCATTGAAACTCTATTGCTATGACAGGAAAAAAATAAACAATCGCAAGGAGACGATAGTAATTATTGGAATGGTCTGACTTCCATAAAAAGGACTAAACTTTTTTTAACCAAAACAACTAATTTAGAAATGTTTTTGATTCGGGTAAATAGGAACAGACCTAGGCGGTGATTTTTTGTTCATTTATAATATTATCATCTTAAATATAATTCCTATAAATAATTTGAAAACAAACAATTGAATCTCTGATTTCCGTAACATGATTAAACAAACCCAAAATAGTGCTCGTTATATATTAAATCTGATAGTATTTAAAATAGATTTTGTTGCTCAGTGACCTGTTCCTAAAGCCTGAATAGTCGATCGGAGCCAAATTAAACCATTCGATCGAAAGCAGAGCCAGCAGCAACAGAACTAATGAAATATTTATAACACTTCTCTACTAGCGATTGGCTGAACTTTGCAAAGCATCGTCGCTGATGTACGGTTATTTAAGCATGCACATACTAGTAGTTCAAATATGGAAACCGGAAATATTAGTCATTAATAAATAAATAAACTCTATCACATCGCTTGAAATGAACTACAAAAAGATAGATGTAGAAATTTGACTCATTACAGAAAAGTACAAAATCGTTATAATAAAAAAATAACACATTGATAAAAATATAACAAATTGATTTTCAGTGTTAATATCATAATATTTAATGATTAAATACAACAACCTATATTGTAAGCCACAACGCAAGCCATAACTATACATGAGATAACAGTTTCTTCAGTTTTGTATGTAAAATAGTCCAGTGTGCTCAGCAGAAAATAGTTCCAAAAACAATATTTTTCTTTTCATAAAATAGAATCGACTTCAAACTTTAAAAAAGCAAGAAATATTACTTATCAAATTAGTTTAATTATTCAAGAAACTGCGAGTTGAGGTTTACTGTGGGTTATTAAAACGAAAATCTTCCTTTTAAATTTTGAAATTATAGGAATTGAAAATACGATTACGGAAAAACATATGGGACCACCTCGGTCCCTTGAGCTATTTAATAAAGAATGTTCAAAATCGGTCAACAATTCGCTTAAATCGGTGAACGTACATAAAAAAATGTATATCATCTAACATCCACGATGAGAAAAACAACAATGAATCAACATGGAGAAGCTCCTTCTTCTCGATTTTGAAGTAGGTTAAAAACTTTAGGAATTAGCGGTGATTCGGTCGGAAGGTTGATAAAGTAGAATGTATCCCGCGCTTCCTTTCCGAATTCATTTTTATACGATGCGTTTCGCACGTAATTCTCTAAGACAGTGGTTTTAATTTTTTTTTGACTTTGAAACTCTTTTAAATTAAACAAAGTCTAAAATAAAACAAGAGTTTTATGTGTACCGTTTATTAATTACAAATTTACATATTTTACTTTAATTCCAATCATTTGTTGAAATATTTTCGTGGACCCCCAACATATGCTTTGGACCTAGGGTTAATGGAGCATTTTGCATGGGGCACAAATTTGTAATCGGCATTAATTTTTTGAGATCTTGTAGAAAGACGAATGGAATACTTATGTGCGTTATCTTTTTTGATACTACTAATATTTAAGTTGTGAAAGTTTGTGAGTTTGGAAGCATGTAAATATGTTAGTTACTCTTGAACGTATAAAATTACTGAATAAATTTTGATGAAATTTGACATACAGATAATTCTAAGTATGAAATAACATAAAATTGTAATTTTAGATTACTTTTTATATTCCACCGACCTAGACATACCCAAAAGATAAATATTATCAAGACATAGTTTAAACCACTCGAATCGAGCCGCTGGCTAAAAAATTTGTATATAATTTGCAATTTGCATTTATCCTCTGTGTTGGCATACACTTCGTTACCATTTTTAGTGAATTTAAAAAATAAAGGTCAAATACATTTCAATGTCTTTCATTATACTTTAAAAAAAAACTAGTTTGTAAAATTGTAAGGTTGAGGTTTTGTGGAATCAGAGTTGACGTCATATAAGTGCTAAAGACCTTCGTGATCGAGTATCATTGACATTGATATAACGTTTTTATAAAGTTCCGGAGAAATATTCATTTAAGGCAAACATATAACAAAATTTAAAATAAGTGTATTTAAAAGTGTTACCTTTCTTTTAACAATATTTTTAATATAGGTCTATTAACTAAACTATTTACTCTACTACCATATACAAATTCGAGATGAGAAAATTCTAAACTATTATTATACATTATAAAATTTCGAACGTTCGGTAAATTCTGTCTTAACATTTTAACATCATCGATATCACCAAACCAGTCAATTTCACTGGCTATAATAGTTACAGGAGTAGTGGTAAGTGATATATTATATAAAGGGGGATCTTTCGTTGAATACATTTCTAAATTTTTTGTTTCACCGTGATCAAATCTTTGGACTCGTTTACTTTTATGCCACTGTAAATATTGAATAATAATTTTAGCATTCAAACCTGCTGGCGAGTGACTGCTAATTACAGCCGCTCTATCTTCTGGTAAGTAATTTGCATTTTTCAATCCAAAGTAGAGAAATGCTTCTAAATCGCACAATTGTTTCGATAATCTTTTGTAACAGTTCAAACGGCTGTACACCTTATCAGAACTGAACGGAAGAAGATCATATAAACCTGAATCTACAGTAAGTGAAGAAATAAATTGTATGTTATTACTAAAAACGGATATAAGAGGTATTTTAATATTACTGACCCATGCAACTGGAGCCAGAAGGACGGCATATTTTATTTTATTATTGTAATTAGGAATCGTGCTGCACATAATATGGAAGATCGTAGTTCCCTGTGAGAATCCAATGTAAAACATTTTTTTATATGGCGTCACATTAAGTATGTAGTCGATAGTAGGAGGTAAATCTCGAATGCCCATTTCATCCAAGCTGAAATCCCAATACTTTTCCTTTGGTATGTTCTGTTCGATGTGTTCCTTGCTGTATCTATTGCCACGACTGTTGAAGAGCCATACATCAAATCCAGCGTCAGCTAGTTGGTACGATAGTGATCGGTTTGGACCAAGAACTAACCATTCGTCAGACGAATCAGTAATACCATGGACTAACAGCACCGGTGGTCCTTTCCTTGGTATTCGAAAATGAGTTAAAACGTATCCATCTTCAGTAGTCACTACATGCTTCTCAGGTGTGTAACCGTGTTTAGTCAAAGCTTCAAAAGAGTCCAAGAATGCTTCCGAATCTAAATCACTCAATTTAATTTCATTAATATCATAATTGGTGTCGAAAAATATGTTGGACACTAAAGGTAAACCAATAACAACAATAAAATAAAAGAGATTACATTTAAAAACCATAACTGTTACTTAAAACACGTTTGTCAATAACGAAAAATAAGAATCTAATGATCAATACAGAAGACTTGAACTCGTATTTACGTATGCTGGTCGAAGTCAATGTCAAATAGTCGCCATCTGAATTACGAGATACAAATCGCCAATGACCTTAAGCATAAATTTTTTATGCACGTGTAGTATTATGTAATAACCGCTTATTAAAAATTTTGAATAAATCTCCATTTTATAAATATAAAACTAGTTCCACTAAATACCAATTTTCTGTATTTTAACCGACTTCAAAATCCAAAAGACCTCCTTTTGGATTTTGAAGTCGGTTAATATGTTCGACCGCGATGTATTTTTTTACTCATAATAACAAGAATTAACTCAAAAAACTGAGGACTCTTAACGGGATTTCCTAATATTATTATTATTGTTAGATTATACAAAGAAATAATTGATAAATATATATGAGTTATATATATATATATATATATTAGTGTATATATTATAATTACACTTCATAAGTAGTATAAAATACCTATACCGAAATTATTCAATTCAATATTATGAGTTTCCGAAATTTCAAATAGTGACCGAATATAAATAGAAGACATGCAACAACTAAATGGTTTATTAAACATCAATTAGGTTAGGATAAGTATGGGGTTTCCAGCTTTCCGCGCCGACGCCTTTGCCAGTCCAATGGACGTAAAAACACTGTTTTACTCCAGCAAAACGAACTCTGACCAGAAGTGCAGAAACTTTTTAGGGTCTTCAGAGGTACCACGGAGTGTTGATTGATTTCCAAGTAAGTGGGACACTTATGTATGCTGCCAGACTCTCGCATTCCAGGAAAAAACATCAATTAGGTTAGCTAATTCTATTTTTCAACAACTATCCTTTGATTTGATTGTGCTGCTCGATTGCGCATTGATTAATGCGTTTGGTCTGTGACGTGGAGGAAGAAATTTTCGCATCGGCAATCGTTAATGATTCTATCCATACGGAAGGTGTTATTTATTAGGCTTCTGATGTTAATGCTTTCATTAAATAATCTATCAAATAATCCACAACTACCACTTATAGGGATCACAATTACCTCATTACATACTACTACGTACTTATAATTTTTGTTATTGTGACCAATTATTTGGTAGTATTTATAAATATCACACATGAATCATTATCGTATAATGAGATAATCAAATTCAATAGTAAACAAATGGTTATTGAAGTGATCAGTGAGTTATGTGTATTGTTTGCAGGATCACATTCAACCAGACAGTAGATATTAAGATCGCAAACATATAAATATAAGTGATGACAAGAATTCAACTCATTTGATTTTGCATAACCTCATTACCAAGAGGTTAAAGGTCAATAAGCGGTATTTTATTACCTTTTTTGTCAGTTTCTTGATTCTATAGTTGAAGATAGAAGAATAGTGCCAAAAAATAAATAAGATTAACTACAAGATAAGGTGAGTATTTACAACTTGAACAGTACCTACCTTTTTTGAGTCTAATACGAAAAAGAATGAAAAAAACGCGTGATAATGAAATGTTGTGTAAATTTTACAAATTATTAATAGTTATCAAGTTTTGAATGCGGGTAAGAAAAGATAGAATTACCTAATTAAATAATAAACACAAATGGCAAACGTATACAGCGGTCGGTTTTGAGAAAAATACAAAATCTCAACTTTATTCTCAATAGCTTAAGCTTTTTTAAGTTTGACAAGTCAAAAATGGTTTTATCGAACTACTATCAACTGATCATTGAAAAAAGAAACGTTAATTGACCCATATTACCTATTAGTGCTAGATTTCGTGTTACTTTAAACTATTCAAATTCCATTTAAAGTAATGAGTTGTTACTGAATATTTTTTAGAATACCTAAACAATCATATTTTTACAAAACAGTATTTTTTTTAATCACTCTTATAAAGTAAACTCACATGCATTTACTTAAGTGATAAATACAAATGACAAATTCAAAAATTATTATCGAACCGGTTTTTAATAATAAAAATATTATGAATTACATAATATAACTGTAATATTGTATTTTTTTTTAAATTCTTTATTATCATATGAAGGGCATAAATCAGTGCGGTAGGTTAGGCGACAAAATAAAATATGTGAGAAACCAGTTCGTCTATGAATGTTAAATGAGTTTAAAAAGCACCTTAGCTAGCGACTACTAATAATGTAATAATAGTCTTCAGTAGGTAATTAACATATCTCGCAAATACTAGCCATGTAGATCGGCCAATGTTAGCTCGTTGATGATATTAAAGAATTATAATAAGCCTGAATAAGGCAACAAAAATGGATTTCGATCAATAAAATTCATTTGTTTAAATCTTAATTTCTTAAAAAATCAAGGTCTGTTCGATTTCAAGTTATTCAACTTACTATCTATGCAATCAAGTTCACTACAGAGAATGCCTTACGATAACATATTATAAGAAAAATGTGTAAAGTAGTGAACTCTAGATACCGACGGCAATTCACTTAAGGGGCCGATCACGCCACCGCTTTCTACTAAAAGCTACTAAAAGCTCTCCATAAAAGCAATAATTGAATTTGCGTAACATAATTCAATAAGGCGACACTGTCAAAGGTAGGCTCCTAACACATTACATTCTACTATTATACTTATGTAATAAGTTTTTAATAAATGCATGTTTTAGGCATTTGTTATTTAAATAGAATTTAAATGCAAACAAGTACCTGAGTTTAAAAATACAGATTTCGTATTTTTCTTAATGCTGAATATATATATGAAAATATAGAAAAAAAGTCCTAAAAGAAATTAACCATTGTTTATTTGTCACTTCCAAAACTATTCACTCACTTCCAAAAATCAATTAAGAAAAATTAAATAAACTTCTACGTCAGCCGTGCGTGAGTGAATCGTGAAAAAACATGACAATGTGCTCTTGCGTAATTAATTTAAGTATTATCGATTAACATTCTTTGTCATAAATAATTTGTTTATTTATTTAGTTACTTACAACATGCTGACTTACAGATTAATACATCCAACACATCAGCAAGTTAACTAAAGCAATAAAAAAAACAATGTCAGTTTAGTGAATTTTTAAATTACAATTAAAAGGTATGTCGCTCTGTCTTTAGTCCAACATATCCTCTAAAGCAGCTTAATTTCCTTGTACAATTAAGCATGTTATGAACGTGCAATGTACATGACCTAATAACAGCCGTTCATCATACGAGGCCTGTTCGGCCATGTCGCAGCTTATAAGTAGCTATATGTTTTTTAATGTTAAAGTTTTTATCGATGACTTTAATAACCGTTTCTTAGTGTATAATAATTAAATACAGCAAAATTATGGGTAAGATTAAGATATTTCTTTTACATTTTTGGGCATTAGCAATAGTTATTTTTTATACAAGTAGGCACATGGTTTTTATGTCTTTTCTTCAATGGGGATGACCACCGATTTGTTTGTTTTTCGTCCGGTAGATTTTGAAGAATGTTAAATACGATTTTTTTTGCGTAATCAATAAATTACGGCGATACATTGAGCTGAAATGTCGCATGACGTCACACTTTTGTGTCCCCACTCCTCAATTTTAATGCCTATTATCTAAGCCTATTGTATATATTGAAGCAAAAATATTTTTATATTAACTGATAATTAGTCCTTTTAAAGATAATTAGTCCTTTGGTGGCAGGTATATTGGATTTACCGAGTGAAGTAATAATATGGTGTTGTTTCAGTCTCTTTTTTATATTTCTCTTAGGCAAACTTACCTAACATATTCATGGAAGAATACAATAATATTAATTTAACCGTTTTAGGATGAAAATAACGATTTATTTCTTGTAAAAAAACGTAGAATTCGTAGGTTATGTGTAAAACTATCAACTTTATAATCATTCGTGTAACTCGCGTAAACAAGAAGCAGATGGTACGTATGATAGATAAATCATATGGTATGATATATGAATAGCTAATTATGCAAACTGCTTAACTCTGTTCTGCATTTTTTTGTGCAGCTCATCGAAGAGCTGAAAGAACAAAAAAAAACCTTGAAATATGAAACATGTCTTAAAGAAAAAAAAGAATGCTGAAATAATTAAGAACATGTTTTTGCGCCACCCTTCAATATTTGTTTTGTGTGAAGTATATTAATTTTATTGTATTTTTTATTTTGTGAAAATAGAAAAATATGTAGTCTATTTCATTTAAACTGGCACAAAATGTAAATAAATAATAAATACTAGTATTACAACTAACAAATATTAGTATGACAATTAGACAAGTTTACTTACACATTAATTTAAAATGAAGGTTCATGGAAATAAATATTAAGCGAACTCCTGGTGAATATTATGTTTTATTGTATTTTATTTTGTCGTTTGATCTTGGTTTCACACTAAACAGTAAATCTTTAGAAAAACTTAAATTCGAAAACATTGTAGAGATTTTATTATGGAAAATAATTAGTTTTTTATAAGTATATAGACAATTATTTACGCCCTTCGATAAAATTTTTAAAATATTGGAATGCATTTTGCCCCTGAGCTCTCCATATGCTTTTTTAGGTACATAATTATGTTCACTTGTCTCGTCTACCGGAGATTCTGTCTTCGTTTCAGAGACATGTATTAAAAATGCCGGGGCTATTTCGTCTGTCATGTTGTCTATGAGACTATCCTTCATAATACTTCATAATTTTTTCCTCCTCCTTAATTATATGTTGGATGCATTTTCTCCATACTCCCACACCAATATTTATTCTACCAGATTTTTGACCTCTGCCATTTTAAAAGTTTTGTTCGTCCTCCCCACATAAGATTTGAGCTGCGCCCATATGAGCTCAATAGGGTTAAGCTCACAGTGTAATGGAGGAAGGCGTTTTTTTTATTTTATTTTATTTTGTCAAATTTTGCTTGCAGTTGCGCTTTGATTTTAATATTTTTTAAACTCTCTCTTGTATAGCCTTCCTCCAAGTCATATTAGGCAGACGGGCAATATTTTTGGAATGGTAGGGAGCATTATCCATCACGACTACTGACCTCGGTTTTAACTTATCCAAGAGTTTCTTAAACCTGTAAGCATAATTAAATAATACATTATTTCAAAGTGAAAAGTGAACAACTTTTTAATAAGTCAAACTATTATTTAAGTTACTAAAAATGAAATCATATTAAGGGTTATATTTTACGTAACCAAACAACGTTCATATTATAAAATACTACATCTATTCTCAACTAGCATCTACCCACGAATCCTCGTAGACTTAGGAATTGAAATATTCATTCATATGCTTAAATCAAAAATATCTTACATTTTCGCGCTAATAATACTTGAGATTGTAGCGGATAAGCGCCGCGGCCCGCGATCATTGTCGTTAAGCAACTTTCGCAAGGGTCGGTCACGGGATGGGTGACCAAAAAATTATTATCTCGAGCTACTCCGTGCTTCGGAAGGCACGTTAAACCGTTGGTCCCGATTGCATTTGCAGTCGTTAATACCCTAAAATCCGCATTGGGCCAGCGTGGGGGGTCATGGCCCATCCTCCTTAACCATCCATAAGGAAGGCCTGAGCCCCTGCAGTGGGGACGTAAAAGGGCTGATGATGAATACTTGAGATTAGATAAAAATTTGTATACCGTTGTAGTCTTCACTATCACTGTGGTAGTCTTCTTCTCTATCAGTCTTTTTCGCTTTGAAAATAACTTCTCCGTCGTCTAGAAATCCGTCTTCGCTGCCTATGTGTGTAATTATTAGGCGTTTCCCTTTTTGGGGATTTTTTAAACCTAAGCCTCTTAAAAATGCTTGCCTGCTGCTCTCCTCATCATTATCCATCCAGACGCAATTAACAGTGTGTCCTTTAAAGCAACAATTTTATATAAAGGCTTAAAATATTTAAACATGTCATAATCTTAAACTCAATAACATTACCTGCATTCAACCATGTTTCGTCCGTATAAAAAATTTCTTAGTTTGCTACATATTATAGTACGGTTGGCAAACTTGGTCCAGACTGAGTGAACAAACAGACAAGAAATGAGAGCCGTTTACTGCTGCATGCCCCACACATTCGATCGCCTTCGCATCGTTTGGAACAATTCCCGTACAAACGACTATTTGGACTGTGTACTCTAATGAAACTTAAAACTTGAACGAATAATAAACTTGAACGAAATTATAGAAAATATTACAGTGCAGTAGGTCTTTTATAGGGACAATTGCTACTGCGCATGATGCAAATAATTTTTACATTATTACTTCATTCCTAGTTTCCTAATTTTAATTAGTATCGTTTTTACGCCAAATACATTTTTCCATATATTTACTATAAAATACCAAATCTTTCAATCACTCATTTATATGTTCTCATTACTTATGTTACTCATTACACGTCGAATGTTAGTTTGAATTGTATTATTTTCATGAAAACTGTGATTTTGCTGTTTATTTCTCTAATGTTTCTTTAAAAAATTGTATTAAAAGTGATAATCGAAGTTACCGAATGTGTTCGGTTGCATTTCGTGATTTGATCATTGTGAAAACTCCATAAACAGCTTATGTGAGTTGTTTGTTTACATTATTCGCCAGTTTAGATGAAATAGACTGTATATGTATAATAGGATGTATGGACTATATTCCTTAGTTATAATTGTCAGTCAGTGTTGCCAATATAGCTCTCTTAGAGCTATTTTCAGCTAAATTCGGCGCACTCATGTGATTATTTTGAAAGATAGTATGAGCAGTGCTCTGTAACGCAGATGCATTCGACGGGTTTAAATATTCCGTGGTATAACTGTACTCGTCGAAGATCAAATTTTTTCTAGCTACTGGATGCTGGGTAGGGGCCTTCCGGAGATTCTAGGCTTGCTTTTGAGGTCCGGAGAGCTGCGTATATATCTTGCACGTACGATTAACTTAGCAAACACATAATTAAAAAGAGTTCGGTTTTAAAAATATTTCCAATCTGCCTATTACACTAAGACTAATCAAAAATGTTGTGACAGTTTCAAAATGCTGAAAGGTAGGTATAATAACAACTTTCGAAAACTCAAGAGCGACTAAAAAGAAACTACAACCAAGCACAAGTTGTAACAGACTCTTTTGACGATGGTAATCTCTTTTGTCTAACATCTGCCAACTTTTTATACTGTATAAAATAAAAAAATATCACTTATTTTTTATTGTTAGATATTCATTAGGTACCTTACAATTTAAGTTTGTATATGTTCATAAGATAAAATAAGTAAAATAATTAATTTCACATACTTACTCATATTTTTTATTTAGCTGTTTTGACCTAAGGGAAATAGCTCTTCCTAATGAAAATGCTTACAAAATCCACTTTGTCCCTGGCACTCTAAGATGGGACTCGAACCCTTGACCTTTCGGAATCCGAGCGGGCGAAAGGTAATGGATTCAAGTTTCAGCTCAGATTGCCAGGCACAAAGTGGATTTTTGAGATATTTTTCATTACGAATATTTTTATAGCAGTATAGCATTATGAATGCAAAATTGATCAAATATAATAAAGAAATAGCTCTTTTTAGGTACTTAGACTCCACAAACTTGGACGAGTCTGACACAAACTTGGCAGATTTTTTCATTATGAAAGTTCCTTGGTTTTTCCAAGATATGTATTGGCAGCACCGCTGTCACTGTCACTGTCAGTGAGTCTGTTGTGACCGTAAATATTACATGTTGTGACAGCTGAATTTATAAAAGATAATCTTTTTTAAGTTTACAGATAGCTGTACGTAATGTACAAGTATTATCAACAAATTACGACATACACTTATTACTATACAAGGTTACCAGCAAAAAGTAAATAACAGTAATTATTTCGTCATAAAGAAGAAAAAAATGAAGCATAATGTGTTACGTTGAATGAGCGCACTTGAATTTAGTTATTTGAATTAAAAAATAAACTTTAGTTTGTTTTATGAGATGTCTACGTTAAGTAATATTATTGAAAATGAGGATATGGAAAAGATATTGTCAGAATTCACAAGACTTGAGGGTAAGTAAAACACATTTTCCTCTTTCTGGAATAGATATTTGTATCACACAATATTAACCTAATATTACAATTAGGACGTAATGATATCCATTATCTCGATTTTAAATATTCGTTTTGATTGCATAAAACCAATACATATATTATTTTATATGATATATGTAAGTCACTAACTTTTGAATAATTTTTTTCATTACAGCTTTGACCAAGATATATTTACATTTAACTTGTTATCAAAAATTATTTGCAATTCAGTTAGTTTTGCATGTTTACTGATTTGATCTATAATATATCAAGTTACTAACATTTTGTACATATAATTAAATATACTAAATAACCTCCTATAGAATATTATTTATTCATACTTCATTAATGCTACTAACAGTGAATCAAATTAACAATATATATCTTAACATTTTCAGATCAGTGTTATTTAGAAAATGCTGGATCATCTTTATACCCAGAAAGCTTGATATACCAAGTGAATCAAGACCTACTTAGAAATGTCTATATGAACCCTCATTCAGATAAATACACAAAAGATTGTGTAGATCATATCAGATCATCAATATTGAGGTTCTATAATACTGACTCCTCAAAGTACTCTGTTATCTTTACATCAGGGACCACACAATCATTAAAATTAGTTGTAGAATCATTTCAGTTTGCTTATGATCAGAATGAAGTTCAAAATTGTGGTTCTTTTGTATATCTAAGAGATAATCATACCTCTGTACTTGGTTTGAGAGAGATTGCTTCAGATAAGAATGCTGACATTATCCATATTAGCCATGATGATTTCCTTAATGCATTGAATTTATCACATTCTACTTCAAACTTGTCTATGAAGGGAAGGAATAATCGTGGTGGCAATTCGTTACTGGTGTACCCTGCCCAAAGTAACTTTAATGGATACAAATATCCAATAAACTGTACAGAAAAGATAAAAGAGGGATGTCTAGATAATTATGTAAAAAAAAACTTGTGTAAAATTAATTGTGATTGGTATGTTTTATTGGATGCCGCCTCATATTTGTCGACAAATAAATTAGATTTGTCGAAATGCCAACCTGATTTTGTTGCACTCTCCTTTTACAAAATATTTGGGTATCCAACAGGATTAGGGGCTTTATTGGTTAAAAATAGTAGTAATGAAGTTTTATCTGAGAAAAGATACTTTGGAGGTGGTACTGTTGATATTGTCCTTAGCAATGAAGATTATCATATGAAGAGAGAATTATTTCATGAAAGGTAAACATTCTTAATGCTATCTTTTGTAGGCATTCTGAAAACAATGAAATAAATAAGTATGTAAACACCTCTTAAAAAAGTGGTAAGCATATATTTACATCTAATTTCTGCATAATGAGTGTGCTGTTTTGCATTTGCATGTACGAAAATTAACAACTTAATCTTTTGAATGTCATGCCATATGCAAAGACATTGAACTTATTAAGATAAAAATTGCATATTTTTCCTTTCTTATAGGCTATTACTAATTATCTACTATTATCCATTTTCAGGTTTGAAGATGGTACAATACCATTTCTGTCTATAATTGCTCTGAAACATTGTTTTGATGTAATTAATGGATTAATCCCAAAAGTTATCAATAATGATCTTATGGATACAATATCATATCACACTTACTTCTTAGCTAAAGATCTGTATCTCCAACTAGATCTACTGTATCATAGAAATGGTCAAAAAGCTGTAGTATTTTACACAGATTCAGAGTTTGATGATATTAATAAGCAAGGTGCTATTGTTACTTTTAACATTTTGAGGAGTGATGGTTCATACATAGGATATGCCGAGGTAAATTATTGTTTTCTATTGTAAAACTAGTAGGCTGAAGGATGATAAGTAATCTATAATAATATTATAAAGAGGATTTTTTTTTTGTATTGTTTGTTTGCATTCATTATACTCTGAAAATACTGGACCAATTTTAATTATTCTTTCACCTCTGGGGAGCTACATCATAAATAGGTGACATGGGCTATAATCTATGCATATGAAGTTGCGGGAAAATAACTACTATAAATATTATCATAACATGTAAAAATGTCACATCTAAGTTTGCTTATATCTCTTCATATAGGAATACCATTATTTCTTTCTCTTCATATAGGAATACCATTATCAGTTTCAGCATATGGCAGACCTGTTTAGAATTAGTGTTAGAACTGGCTGCTTTTGTAATTCTGGTTCTTGTCAAAGACATTTAAATGCTACCAACAAGGAAATGAAGGATATGTATAAAGCTGGCCATAAATGTGGTGATGAAATAGATTTAGTTAATGGTAGACCCACTGGAGCCATTAGGGTGTCATTTGGATACTATAATACATTTAAGGATGTTGACAGATTGATTACAATGATATCTCAATGTTTTGTGCACACTAAGCCTAAGAAAGTAAAGCGCGTGAGACATCAACTTGACACTAAAAAGTCTATAAAAGAAGAGGAAACAAAATTATTGAATGAAGAAGAATACTTTAATAAAATCAACCTCATTGATGAGCAGATTTTTGATTCTGATATTACTTTGTGTGAAATGGCGATATTCCCCATAAAATCTTGTGGAGCATTCAAAATAAATTCCTCCTGGAAAATTGGATCAAGAGGCTTCGAATATGATAGAGAGTGGATGGTTGTCAAAGATAATGGTGTCTGTTTGACTCAAAAACAAAATACGCGAATGTGCCTCATAAAACCTAAAATCGATCTTAAACATCACTTGCTGATTCTTAACTGTCAAGGTAAGAGCCATGAGATTTTTTTTTTTATGGAATTGGGGCAGACGAGCAGGCGGATTACCTGATGGTGAGTGATTACCGCCGCCCATGGACACCTGCAACACCAGAGGAGCTATAAGCGCGCTGCCGGCCTTTGAGGGATGAATATGCTCTACGCTAGTTGATTTATCTTATTTTATGCTCAGATAATACATGTGATGGAGTTGATACTATACTAATTTTATTTAATTTTATAAAAGGTTTGCATTTAATAGGATCTAGAAGACAACCGATTTCATATTTTTTTTCAACTATATCATAATATGTGGATAACATAGGCTTTATTTTAGGCGGGCAAAGTTGCGTGAAAACTGCTAGTAAGCTAAATATTTCTCTTAAAGAGTGGATTTATGTAGTCAAGTTATATCAATTTTAAAGTTAAATTATAAATTTTCATTTAAAGGTCGTTAGTTTATATTGTAACAGATGTTACCAATTCTTTACCTATAATATAGCTATTTTCAACTATCACTTACCACTATTATGACAAGTGTTTTGATATTTGCGTCATTTAGCATTTGTAGTTTATTTATTCTAGATTATTTATTTTCCATAGTTAAATATAAATTGCAAAATGAATAATTATATGATATTCATAGTTTTGTACATTTTGCAACTTTATTTCTAATCAATGCAAAATATACATTTGCAATATTTCTAATGTACTGAGCTATGGATTTATTTCAAATTCATTTGTGATCTAAAACGTTTCAATTTTGGACCCACTTTTGATTTTAAGGAATAAAGATAATTTTGATCATTCTCTCAGTTTTACTTCTAGGGAACGGTTTGTGGGATAGAAATAGACTATATATTACTTTAGGCTTAATTTCATCAAAATCCGTTTTTTGCGTGAAAGAGTTAATAACATACATACATATCGTCACAAACTTTCGCACTATAATATTAGTAGGACAGGATATTTTACGAACATTTTTGTTTAATATACCCACTTAAATAAAAAACTTAATTTATCGTCTACAGGAATGCCGGCTTTGCCTTTACCATTAACCATTGATGACAAGAAGAAGGCAAATGCTACATTTTGTCAGAGTAAAGTTTGTACAGACATCATTGAAGGCTACGATTGCGGAGACGAAGCAGCCAATTGGGTTTCTAATGCTTTGGGAGTATCGTTTTTGAGATTAGTCAAACAATCAGGCGAAGTGAAAAGACTGCAAAAAAATAAAAAAGACAACAGTGGACCTAAATTATTATCGCTCAGCAACCAAGCTCAATTTCTATTGGTGAATAAAGCCACTGTGCGTTGGTTGAGAGATGAAATCAAAGACCCACAATTCAACGATGACATTGATCAATTGACCAATAGATTCAGGGGTAATATAGTTATTGATATGGAACAAGAGCTTGTTGAAAGGGATTGGAACAGGATTCTTATTGGAAAACACGAATTTAAGGTGAGGTATCTCTATTGATTTGCAAGAATTTCACTTGGCATATTTTAAGTGCCTTTTCCAATATTAATTAACCCCTTGACACATAAACGACATAGCTACAAAATGATTTATCCAATGGTTTTAAGCCTTAATCTGTTGGTATTTAAGTATATGATTGTAGAAATTCCTCTTTTTTTATTAATAATATGTGCTCTTTTGCTTATGTAATTTGTATTGGTTTGGAGTTGAGCCTCAGTGACGGTAACACAATGAAATCAGACAAGCATTTATATAAAATTCGTCGTTTGCGCTGTTAATTGAATTGAAGGTGAAACAATACGATTTTGGATTATACAATACTTGTTTATCATCATCAGTCTTTAGTGACCACTGATGGTGAAAGTAAAGTGAAGTGGGCGTCATATTTCAATGTGAATTTTTTCAGCATACCTCTTAATTTCTTAGATTAGTCCTAAAATGATTCTGAAATAAATAAAAATACTTTGGATTATAGCTACCCGTGCCGATTTAGGTCGAAAGAAGTCAGTACTTTACCACTAAACGCGCAAGGAATTGCATCCTTCAGTGCGTATTTGTTCTAGTTTTTTCTACATTTATGGCATCTGTCCAATAGAAAATTTATTTTTATATTCTTATTATAGAAATATATCTGATGAAATATTATAAATATAATAAGCAATTTGATTATCGGGAAAAGTATATTCAACACTACCAGAAAATGGCGGACTAACTCCGTCCGTTGCCCGGAGCGGCATCAAGCCCGGACCTACGACTTTCCAACCGGGGTAGAAACTGGATATTACGTTTACACCCCATCCCTATGCTAAGACGCCTGTTTAAACTAAGATTTAAGATCAAACAATACAACAACAAGTTCTAACAGTTTTGTTTTATAATATCCGCAAAGTAAATTTAAAAGTGATCGCGCAAATCTTACGATAAGCGATTGTTATTATTTTTTTTATTTTTAAAAAGCGCGAATACATTTTTTCGTCAGTGCCAAGCTGCAAAAGGAAACATGTACATTTTTATCATGTTGTGAGAGAAAAAAACGGATATTAACAAATAACAAAGTGTATAGCAGAAGAGAAGAGTATGTTACCATATTCGATAAATCTGATTGTTATTGCTTATGCTGATGCGTCGACTATGATAAAAATAGATGAAAACAAGATCTTGTAGCGTCAAATAGAGTCTGATCGACCGGATCATCTAACCGGTGTCGACATGACGTTAGCGAATAAAGAGAACAGGGCAAACCTTAGAGCCTATAAACTAGTAAGCAAAATCAAGGAACTGTATACATTTTATCGCTTTGAACCCGACCAAAACGGTTGGCAGGGTAGATTATTGTGAGTTAATAGAGGCTCTCAGTTATATTTTTATACGGAAATGAAGAAGGAAAGTTTAAAATACGTCCTCCACATTTCATGCAACCAGTTCTATAAGCAAAACAAAATGGCTCTGCTGGCTGTCTGCTTATTCATATTTTTTAATCCATGTCAAGCCATGGATTCAATGCATTTCGGCAGTTAAAGCGTCATACCAAGAAAACCATGAAAGCTTACGAAAACTTCGATAAAAGTATTTCAAAAGCAGTCCTGAAAAGTTTATTCAACATTTATGGTATTTGACTGAAGAAAGTGAGCCTTACGTACAAGCAAAATGGATACCTTCCCAACTAAAAGCAGTGAATGATCCTACTGAAAGAGCGGTGTAATTGATGAAACACTTTCGTGGGTCAATCACAATGAACAAAGAACAAAAGCAATTTTTATTTTTGTGTACGCCGTAAAATTTATCCTAATTTCCAAAACAAACATTTAAAAAGTATGTTCTTAATGTGAAGAGTATGTTCTAAATGAAGGTTCTTAATGTTGCAATATAATATTTATTTTTTTTTATAATAGAGTTGTTTATTACGAAACTAGAATAAAGTCATAAACGATGTAATATTTCCTTTAAAAACTTTGAAGTCAAGTCGCCACGAGCTAACATATTTTAATCACAGTAATATTATATAAAAATAAAGGGTATGCGTATCTGATTTTGAAAAGGAAAAATTTGCCCTTATAGCTTGGGACACCCTAGTGAACAGACTATAGATATATGAATTGTATCAATAGGGTTATCACTGACCATAACTCATTCCACAGACTACGTATGCAACCTAGCAACTTGTGCCTTGCAAAGCACGAAGCAATTATAGTTGATAATTTTTTTATCACTTATTTAATTAAATACTCTATTATAATGGTTATTTTGACTGATGTTATATGTATTATGTACTAATTACAGGTCGAAGGACCATGTTCAAGATGCCAAATGATATGCATTGATCAAAATACAGGAGATAAAACTGTGGAACCTCTGAGAACAATATCAGAACAATTTGCAGGGAAACTGAAATTTGGTATCTATCTTTCTTACATAGGTACTGTTGACGGCTCTAAGGATTGTACTTTAAAACTAAACACTCCTGTCAAGCCTATAATCAATGATGATGATATAAGCAGGTGAAAAGAAGTTAATTTTCAGTACACTGAATCTCAAATGGACACTAGTTCAAATGAATGCAACTGCACAGTATTAGTATGGTAAAATTATTAAATGTAACACAAAAACTGTCTTCCACTAGTACGAATGTTATTCTTTTATATTAGGAAAATACTTTAATACGTTAACTACGTCGTATCATGACCATAACAGTAATAGGTTTGTGCTAACAGTAAGAGACGGTATCTACTTGACCAGTCGTAGTCGGTGACGGAACGATCTAGTCAATTTTGTTCTATTAGACAAATATGTTTAAAAAAGTATTATATGGGTTAGAGAGGATTGACTTGGTGTAGTGGACATAGTAGACAGAATTGCTTATTTTTAAGTTTGGCTATCCTCGGCCCTACCGGCATTTCCAAAGTTTTAGAACCCCTACCAGTCTCCTCCCCCATTAGCCCATCTTTGTTGGCGCGACTCAAACTTCTACCAATGCACCTAGCGACTAGTAGAACATCAGCGCGTTGCGTTGTTACTAGATAACAAAACCCGTCGCTCCGTAACAATATGTGTGTAGTTTTAACGGCTATTAATAAAAGAAAATGCCAAAATAAAAAACCCTTGCTGATAGTAAGATATATATATTTTTTACAATTAATTTTGACATTACATTTAAAAAACAGTAATAAACTTTATCTGGTCACTCGTTCCGACCAACGTTTCCGGCTCCTGGTACAAAATACTCCCTCAGATGTGACAATATTACGGACCAGCTTTCTCCCTGCTCATTTCAGTAACCCCCCCATAAAATGCATGTTTTCGCGATATCGCTAATCGTCTTCTAATACAATCTAAGTACAGACTAGCGACGGTTGTGATTGCCCTTTTGGTCCTTAAAATCCAAAAGTGTTGTAGTTTATTGAAGACTGTTTCTTCAAGCAATGACTCGCTTTCTGATGAGAGATGGGTAGGCAAAAAATCCAGTGGTCGACATCAAGAATAATCCGAGTTTGCATCCTTTTTCGAGAGTTCAGACTACGGACATCAGGAACCCGGCTTGCTACCATGCTTCCCTCCGGGTACGTAAATGTCATCAGCTTCGGCTTCACCCGTGTTGTTATCAACATTCATTTTTCAATGTCATGTAACGTGTTTTAACCATGATTATATAGAAGGACCCAGTGCCAGACTGTATTATTAAAAGTAAAAATATTTTACGATCAATTATGACAACGTTACATTTCTAAAAGAATTTACACATATATAGAACACAAAATAAAATTCTTATTTGTTACCACTGATTTACATTGACGCTATTGAATATTGCGTCTCAACACAATACAGTCAGACATCAGTCTATTAATGTCCCCACCGCTATTTACGGCCGTCCCTATAGATGGAATCGAATTAAATCGAATCGGTCATAGAATGGGTGACCAAAAATGTATTATCTCGAACGTTAAGCTTAATCCGGTTCCCGACGCACGGATGAGTTCGAAATAGTAAATTTTTGGTCACAAATTCTATGACCGATCATTGTGAAAGTTACTTAACAATCGTATCGCAGACCGAGCGCGCTAGCCACTACGCCATCTAACTCCTCCTACTATACAGTGGAAAAAATAATAATTACTGTGTTAACAAATAGGGATGATGACTGGGTAAAAAAAATGCAATTCTATTTAGTCCGTCAGTCAGATAATAGAAAAATATTAGATGCGTATTTTTTTTTTACTTCAATTTAACAAGAAATAGCTTAGATAACAGGCATTAAAATTGAGGAGTGGGGGCTCGCTACGTCACAGTTGAGTAGAAAACGTACTCTAACGTGACGTCATGCGAAATTTCAACTCAATGTAACGCCGTAGTTTTATGATTACGAAAAAAAATTTAAAAATACGTGTTTAATATTTTTTAACACTCTACCTGACGGACAAACAAAGAAAAATTTGTCATCATCCCTATTAACGTTTAACAGGCCAGTCCCCAAATCATATCGTGGTCATGGTATGGAATAGTGTTATTGAAAAGTTTATGTAAGCTGTCTTAAGCCAGTTATTCTTCGTCAACGAGTAGTTTTCAGTATTTTTCTAAGACAAATAGGGTAACACTGTAAATGCAACATTATTATTATTTTGTTAGTTCCCATTGTGCGTTGTTATAAACACCTTCACGAAAAGGAAAATAAAAATAAGAAATGCATATTACGCACATTGCACATTTTACACAAAATATATATTTGTATTAATACTGTACAAGGTAATTTTAAGGTGCACATACGTCCTTGGAGCTGTATAGGAAGGTATATAGCTGTTATATACAGCCATGGAAAAATAACATGATGGTCAAACTAAATTAAATGGTATTCTAATTCATTTAGCGCACACGGCTGCATGTCTATTTAACAAAATATGTCAAAATTCTTCAATTGATTTAGAACTCTATTGACAATTCATAAGGTTCAAAATTAGCTGTCGAAATTTGACAGATTTGTATAACGACGACTATCGCAATGAATAGTAATAAACAATGCAAACAAGATACCTTTTTAATCTCATACTAGTTTATAATTGACTGCAACTTCTCTACTTAATCTAATGGGTTGCATATTCTAACGGAAAATGTGTCCTATAACATCAGAACTCTAGCCAAAATAAAAAAACAATAATTTGTTTAGCAAATTGCTAAACTGCGACTAAGTTTAGATTGTGTAATTTTGTTTTTGCTCGTTTTATATACCTTATGGACAAAATTGCTTAACAAAACACGCTTTATCTTGTGAAACATTGAGACTGATAATGTTTTGTCCAAAATGTGGTAATTTAGTATGTAATATTAATAAAAAAAAATCAATCAAAAATATTCTTATTTTTATAAATATTTGCTGAGATCTGTTATCTATTTGTTATAGTTTTTATACTTTAAGAAATTATTTTTGTTGCTAACGGTTGATTGCAAAGTTATTGAGTATATACTTTATTTTTCTATTATTAATTTCTTATAGAATAAAGTTGTGTTCACATTATTGAATTGCACTGATACTTTAATTAGGTGTTTATGACAAATATGCAATATGTATTTTATTTATACTCTTGCACGAAAATACTTTTCTTTTTTAAATAGCAACTTCTGTCGACATTAGCCTTTGTATGAAAATTGTTGAGTTTGAATAGAATAGGGTATCGGACCAACAGTAAGAAAATTCAATTATTCCATAAATATCCTTGTTAAATAATATTTGTATTTTTCATTAAGCATATTTTCCGGTATAGCATTGGGATTGCAAAATTTAATAAAATATATATATATATTTTTAATAGGTAAATTATTTTTTATTTGTAACTCACATTAAATGATAAATAACATAAAATGACCAATCAGAGTGTGAAACGTCATTTATGGGTAAGTGTAATATTATTTTTATGACTTACGGGATATTTAACAGTCATCAAGGTTCATGCCATAGGCATAAAGGCTTATTTATCCATGACTGAATACAAAAAGAGTATATGATAATATATTTTTTACTGAAAACCTGTGATGTAGCTTTTTAAACAAATAAAATTTAAACATAATTTTGAGTTCAGAAGAACACTTATTTACATAAAATAATATTTTGATTACCATCCTTAACCCGACGAGCGTAAGGTTAGAATATGTAACACAAAGCGCCAGGTGGGTGTGGCACACCCAGATAGTAATTGTGTGGTTTTAATATATTATTATTTTTAATAATTATTTTCCTGAATACTAAACTGATATTTACTTCTATTTTAACTTATTTAAGAATGAAATAAAAAAAATCAATTTATTATTACTATTTATTTATGAAATTAACAATTTGAACTTATATTTATTAGTTAAGGCACATGTTTATCACTTTTTATCAAAAAATGAAAATAAAAACAGCATAAAGTATTTTTTCTTCTAATATACTAAACATAACAACAAAATAACACTGATACTGGAACCATATACTAATAAAAAAATACTTATTCATCTTGAGATCTTGTGCAGTTTTCACAGACGAAATTGGCATGTTCCATACCTAGATAACGGCTGCATTGGTAATAAAAGTATTTAGTCTTGCGGTCTTTTTTGTAGAACATATTTCACATACTTTTTGTGGTGGTTCTTTTGGGGATTCACCCCCATGCTCTTGAATTCTTTTACGAATCCGTCTCCGGGTCACTACCAGATTTGTCAGAAGAACTGACTTCAGCTGCTTCGAAAAGACTTAATAATTTGCGTTGGTTATCTTCGTACGACATTCTACATTTTTATCCTGCAAATAAATCAAAACAATACCAAAAATAATAAAAAGAAAAAGAAATGTGTTTGTTCAAATTCATTACAAGTAGCGTAAGGTGGGTTTCACGCACCCGCTGACAGTTTCAACCTCGTACACACCATTTACCGGGTGGCGGTCGACTAAAGCAGTGGCAGTCGACGCTTCCGCAACACCTCTCGCGCAGCTACTCAGACGTGGGAAACGTAATAACAATCCGTTATTAAAATATTTATCGATTTTTCTAGGTCTGGGTGTACCACACCCAACCTTACGCTCGCCGGGTTAATGATTAATTTAAGACCTTTTTTTTTAATTGTCCCATCTTCTATTCAAATCAAGCACATATTTGATATTTATGATATGATTTGGTAATTGTACAGATTCCAAATTGTGTATACTATAAAACTTATTAGATCCTTTGCATTTTACCATTTTTTCAATATATAATATAATAATAATATTTATTTTTCTCCGCATATTACAGTTACAATTGTCATTTTATTCTCATAAAGACGGTGGTGACCATTACTAGAATAATCCTGTTCTATAGACCATATGACTCTAATAATATAATAAAAATACATATACCTAATAAATTGTTAGTAGAAATAATTATGATCACATCTCTGATTATTATTATGTCAACTTAATTAGTATTTTATGTTATTTCCATTTCCAGTTATTTTTTTGGTTTTGCTTTAAACTATGTTACTAACATTTCTGTTATTTGCAGGTTCAAGGATTGGTTTTATACATATTTTATGGATTACTTTCGTTGTCATTTTAAAATTAATTATGGTAATAAGAAAAAGAAAAGTAAACAATGAAACATAAATTGTTAGTTACTGTAAAGTCAAAGTTTAAAACTTTGAGGAAATGTCACTTATGGGACATTTTTTGTATTGTTTTCTGATCATTTTTCTTATTATTGTAACTATTAAGTTATATGATATTTTGATTTATATTATTTATTATAAGAGTTAATTTATAAATGGTGAATTTATAAAAAAGAAGATTTTCTTGCCTTAGCAGAATGAAAGATTTGATATTTATTAAATAATATTTTGCTCGCTAGAATATAAGCACCTGTTTCAAAGTGAATATACTTACTTACTATAATATTTATATTTGTTAATGACTAGTAGAATATTGTGTTTTATTGTAGTTAGCTAAATATACTATGAAATAGCACAGTTTATTGGTTGCTGGCCTTTTATTTGCCTTGGTTCATTTCCTTGTGACACTTCATTCACTACTTGTGCCACTTCTTCATAATCGGGAAGCGCCATCGTTTGTAGTTTTGAATATACTATTTTATTATTTACTTCTACTTCGAAAGATCCTGGAAGGCATGTAATGTAAATCAAAATAAGCATCTTCCTATAACATTCAATTTATAGTTTTATTGAACTTGACTATATTCAAAAATGGTTCTTATGGTTTTAACTATTATGGGGATTAGAGTTTAACTATAATTAGTTAAACATTAATTTACAAGAAATGCTGACTTGATGGATAAAAGTTAATGAAAATTATATGACCCAAATCTAATTTAAAAGGTCAGTTATCTTACTAATCCCACTTTAATTATTTTTAATTATATTATAATGGTATTTATAGTAATTTTTGTTTCATCATTCTCCTGATATTAATTGAGAGTAAATAATGTTGGATATGGATATTCAAATGTGTATCAATTAACCTCATTCGCAAAAAAAAGAAATATTGTCAGAATAAGAATTCTTAAAGTAGCTGAATTTATTTAGAATTAAAAAATAATCATACAAATTTCTATATAGTATTAATATTTATTATTTTTATATATTTATTTATTCTAATATTTAAGCCGAGGACCGAAGTAGATGGCGTGCAATTGGGGAGGCCTATGTCCAGCAGTGGACAAATATGGGCTGATGATGATGATACAAATTTCTAAAGCAACATTTCCTAAAGAGTATCCAATAAAAAATTATGAGAATGAAGTAATTACATACCCTGCCGGCCTCTCTTACAGTAGACCAAAGCATTAGGAGTGCTGTTCCTAATTGTTTTTGCAAGTGCAAGACAGTGACCCCCATAATCACAAACTCCACTGAAATGTGAAGATTGTTTTATATTAACGAGAGCATAGTATTTTGGAAGTGTTTTCTTTTAAATATGTGAAGTGCACATGGTACATCCATATGAACTTAGCATGTGTACCACATAGGTTGGCTGGTACCAGACAAGATTATTCTTGGTTACTTATTGTAAATAAATAAAGATGTGTTGTTGCTGCCCTTTTAAGACACTAAACACTTCTCCCGAAAATATTAAATCTGAGTTTTACATAAAGTTGAAATTGCAAACCTGAATATTTAACAATTATTTGTTACAAACCAATATTCGACATTAATTTTTGGATTATCTGGTATTTTGTCGTCTGACATTGTGGTACATTTTCAAAACTGCATTTTATTACCACTCATTCTATTTTGGATAACTTGAATTAGATTTTAAAAGGTATTTTTGGGAAAAAAAGACATGTATGTAAACTTTAAAAACCATCTGTCACTGTCAATTGAGCTTTTTATTTTATTTTATTGAGAGCTTTGGCTGCCAGGCCATCAGCTTATTCCATTACTACATACATTACTACAATCTATATACTAAAAAACTCTTAAAATTAAAATACATAAATATTAAATATAATAGAAAGAAAAAACAAAAAAGAATCAACTTAGGTATAACCATTTACAGAAGACCAAAAGTATTATTACAGAAATGATAAATTATGACATATAAATCAACTATTTTTGTCATATCCTGCAAATTTTTGGGAAACTTTTGCTTGTAAAGTATCTGTACAAAAAGAAGACGTTGTTAGTTAAAATATTTACAATTAAAAATAAATGCTAAAGGTCAAATATTGTCTCTGTACAATATACGATACACTGTCACTGAGTCTTTCAGACAGGAAATATTATAGACTTTTAGCATTTTCAGAATGTTTTTTATGACAGAATATAGAATATAATCAGGACCTGAGTTAACTCTTACGGGCCAATAAATATGATTATTAAACGCAACTTTATAGGATTCAAACAAAATATCTTTTATTCAATATAAAACAAACATAATTGATTCTTAAAAGTAATGTGAAGGATGAATCAGATGCTGTTTATCTTTTATTATTTAAGGCAGCTTCAAATTTAAACGTGTGGAAGGGATCTTGGATCCATTTCGCTGACTTACGTTCCTGAAGTACAAGTCTAAATTATGGGAATTTATGTAATTGGAAGAACTCGAAGGAGTTATGTTATTTATATATCGTCGGTGATACTGCAAACCGTACTATGTCAGCTAAACCTGATTTTATAGTAGAGTCAAAAAACTGTTTTTCTACTTTGTATTAGTTGGTAAGTATTTGATGATTGCGTGGTGCTATGACATAATTAAGAGCTATTAAATAACATGTGAATGAATTTTGAGTATAGTTCAAATGTGTAAATAATTCGACTTAGTACAATTTGCAATGAATTATTTAACATATTCTTTTAACATAAAACATATTGATGTTTGAAAAAATCTGATTAATGTTGTTATAATGGTAGTAAAATATTGAAATAGTAAAATAACTATAACCGTAATTAAAGAATAAAATTGGGTATTAAATAAAACAAAAAAAAAAACAATTCAAAAATGTTTGCTGCCTATATTCTAACCTTATTAGGTTAAAGTAATACTTAAACTAACTTTCTTATATTTACCCTGGGAAAAGCTATAAAAATCATTGAAAGTTAAATAAAATACTTTATACGGCTCGGGATTTTGCCTAGCAGACCTAATTATGCTCACATAGTCGGCTGGAACAAAAATATCTCGTTTTCGGCCACGCAATTTCTTTTCTATTACACTATGTATAGAATCTACTTCCATTTGCATGTGGCCGACTTCGAGATATTTTTGTTTTATGGTAACATTATTTTCGATAGCCAACTCAAGCAAAGCATTAGCCAATGTCAAGCAACGATTTTGGCAGCCACACCCAACGCTCCAAAGTATGATTTCAGTTGGTTTAAACTTATCAATATCATGCATTAGGTGTTTAGACAAACTAGTAGCAAATACATCACTTTCTAAGCCACCATTTTCTTCGTGCCAAATATAACATGCAGCTTCTTTGTTTTTCATGTTATAAATGGTGTAATTGTGTATTTTTAACTTTGTCTTATAGTAAGTTGCGGAAGCTTGAAGATTTGGACAAAGTAGAACAGCTTGCACATCCATGCAATAAACTAATGTCTTATCAGTACTACATTTGTCATTTTCTTTCTCATCTCTCGCTCTCTGTTTCTTTGTCTGATAAGCATTGTAGTCCGTTTCAGACAAGTGACCTTGTTTAAAACTTATGCACTTATTGCATTGGTCCTTGCTGGGACTAAAAATATCATAATTAAGGTTACGAAAAATTTTCAAGAAATAGCGCCTTGAACAATAAATTTTATTTTCCTCGACGCAACTCTTTTTATATACTTCAAAAATGTGATTGAAACTATCCCAAACTGGCTCTAAATATAGTTTTCTCGACGATGCCCTACAATAATGAGATTCTACTTTGGGAAGTTTATCCAAAAACGCAATTACAGACATTTCTTTATCACCTGCAATATTGGGTATAGTTATATTGTAATGAGTAATGAGTAATGAGTAATTTATTTGCTAGAAATGCGGTTTACAATAAAGATATTAGCAAAATAATAGTTCAGGCACATTTCGCTATAAATAGCATGCAAAAATTTTCAAATAATATTAAAAATTATAATTATTAAATTAATAGTCATACAAAAATAATATGTAACAATTAGCAAGTCCATCAGATACCATTAAAATAAGCAATCAGAATCACACATACAATCTTAATACAATTAACAATGTTAATAATAAATTTACGGATATAGCATCTTATAATTTATTATAATTAATGAATTCAAATCTTTATGTCATTTGTTTAATTGATTCATAATATAGTAATGTCAATATTGCGAATTGGAGATACTCATATTTATCATTTATTATAATTAACCAAAATGTCAAATTTTATGTCTCTTGTCTAAATATTCATTGATACAATAAAAACACTTTTGCTGTAGCCATTGGTGCAGTTCACGCTTAAATGTCGATAGCGGCAATTTCTTAAAATTTTCAGGTAAGTTATTAAATATTTTAACGCACATAGCATATGAGTTTCTCCTGCATATTTCAGTTCTGCAGTTTGGTAGTACCAGTCTATCCGGGAATCTCGTGTTGAAGATGCATATCTCTTTTTTAGTCAAAAACAAAGCTTTATGTGTTTTAACAAATATCGATGCTTCCAAGATATATAAGCTTGTAAGAGTTAATATCTTTAGGTTTCTGAACAGCGGCTTACAGCTTGTTGTCGGTGGTACATCACAGATAGCGCGGATACATTGCTTCTGCGATATAAATGCCCGATTGATGTTTACTGAGTTACCCCAAAGCAAAAGTCCATATCTTAAATTTGACACTACATAACCATAGTATGCCTTAAGTGCTGTTGGTTTGTTACTTAATTTGGTAAGACGCCATAAAGCATAAGCAAAGCGATTTATTTTTGTGCAAACCTTCTCTACATGGTTTTTCCAGGTGCAACATTCATCCAAAGTAATGCCCAGAAAGACTGTATTATTAACCGTGTTTATATATTGGTCCTTATACTTTAATTGTAGATTCTCAATTGCACCGCCTTTGTTCCTAAATTGGATGCACTTGGTTTTTGTAATATTGACCTTTAATTGATTGCTTTCCAACCATTGTACAACATCAGAGAGCGCTTGATTAATGTCATTTGTATATGTTGATTGTGGATCTTTAGAAACAATCACTGAAATATCATCAGCAAAAAGAGTACAATGATATTTTGTACATTTTGGTAAGTCATTTATATATAACAGGAACAAGAGCGGTCCCAAGATAGAGCCCTGAGGTACACCTGTCCTATTGTATTCATTTTCCGATTGAGTAACCTTGTGTTGTCTATGTTGATCCACATTTGTTATCTCAACATATTGTTTTCTATTGAATAAGTAGCTTTTTATCCAATTATGTGATTGTCCTCGCAGACCGTAAATTTCACATTTATTCAATAAGATATCATGAGAAACGAGGTCAAACGCCCTGCTCATATCGAAGAATAATACCGTAGTTGGAATCTTTTTGTTTATATTTCCCACCAGTTTATTCATCAGTATAAATGCTGCTAATGTTGTAGATTTTTCTTTTTGAATTATTATTGTCCGCGGTGGCCACCAACCAATCTCTTAGCTGCCTTCGCCCAATCCCTAAGGTTGACAATAACATTTCTTTGCAGACATAAAATTTAGCGCTACTTTCGCCTGTCTGTGTGATTAAGTAATATTTCAGGGTAATATTCTTTTTAGTGTCATTTTGTGCAGATTTTCGGCGATATTGTGGTTCGTTCTTTAAAACAAGGCTACGCACTAAAGTTTTCCGGGCTTCCCAAGATCGCAACTTCCAGAAGTCATTAAATATGGTTTCTCGTTGAAGCTCCGTTATATCATCACAAGTGAAACACTGCTTAGGTCCACGATGACTTTTTACGCGAATATGTCCTCTGCAACGTTGTCCTAAGCTCTTTGCTGGTTTGCAAGCTATTTGTACGTACTTCCCCCTCTCATCTTTTATGAAACCGGTGTATGCTTCTCCTTTTAATCTTGCTTCTGCATTTTCTTGCCGTTTCCATTGCGTTCGATCGCCTTGCCCTCTGCTGCGACGTTTTTTTGCTCGACAATCACCATTTTGAGCCACAGCGAACAATCCAGTAGAAGGATCTAGTATTTGCTCACCATTATCATCTTGATTTTCACAAAATGTTATATCACTATCTTCACTGGGAACGCAATTGGACTCAGAAGAAAACTCTAAAGAACTATGAAATGAATGAGTGCTACTTTGAGGACTAAAGCAGTTAACATTTCGGAGTTCTTCAGTCTTCTCATTCAAAATAGCCCCCGAACTCCCCGAACTTGACTCATCGATCGAAGATTTCTTGTGCTGGAGTGGTAATTCAACCATACGTCTTCCACGGTAGCAACGATCCATTGTTTCTACAAAAACATACATTAAGATACTTTGCAATATGTGCTATGTCATCCAAAACCAAAAATTATTTTATTGCAATAAGTTCTATGTCAATGTGCTAACTGAAAATAATCGTAAGTCTAGATTGTTTTATCACCAAAGCCCTTATTAATCGTGAAAGAATACAAATCTGGATGCCGTAAAAATACGCACTATCGGGATTCAACAAAAAATAATTTACAAGTACCTAGCTGAACAAATTTTCTTGCTGGTTTTGCACAAAATGTAAGTTTTTTTACTCGTTTTCTACGTTGTTTACAGTTGTAGTGCAATTAAATAACATTGGATTATAATTAATTGTCAACTTACCTGAAATTATTTTCTCGAAACCACAATTTTTTATAATTTTCACTTACGAAAAACCGTTGTACCGACATAGAACCTATTAGAGTACCCAGACAACCACTTTTGTTCTGTGCAGACCACTGACAAGCCTTGACAGTGACATATTGCAACACAATCAAAACTGTTTTGTGATTGGCTGACGACTTAGAACGATTTGCAAGTGTGTTCGGATACACGAACTTGATCATTTGCATTAAAAAAAACAAAAACGATTTTTCTTGACATAGAACATAATTTTCAAAATAATGTGACCTAGAAATAGTTCCTAATTTGGCAAATTTATTTTTTTAATTTGATCCCATATTATACATATTAACAGGTGTAGTTCGGTTTAAAGGAATGAGGAAGTATTTAAAAAAAACATTAGTTCCCGATATCAAACTAGATGTCGCTACGGTACGTTCTTAATTTCTCCATGACAACCTTTCCGGTTTTCTTTCAAGTTTAACAGTAAATAAGTTTTCAAAACTCAATATAGAAATCATATTCTACTTGTACTTTTTCTTATTTGTATGGATATCTAAGTTTCGATCTTTTCAAATTTCAGTTTTTTAATATGTTAGTTAAAAGGAATGGAAATGACTGTCTTTGATCCAATTGTTTCCTGCAAAAATCAACTTTTGCTAGAGTCGCCATCTAGTGGAGGTGCTTTTTTAATGCTTTCGATGTTTTTAAATACTTCCTCATTACAATAATTGGCCTAACTTGAAAACTTTTGTTCGGCCAATATGATTTTCTTTTTAGTACGTAGTGCGGTCCATGAGCGCTTAGCCTCACATAGAGGTTAATCTAAAATATTTTTTGTTGCTAATATAGATTAAAGTCTCTGTAGATAAAAACACTATGCCGAGTTTCATTCTATTCTGATCGCTAGTTTATTATTGACAGTTCTTTAAGCACTTAGTATTCAAGTAATTTTTTAATATGTTTAAAATTGAGTATAGTGCAGTAATAAAGTTCTTAACTAAAGACTTAAGACTTGTGTACGGTGATGCCTTTCATACGCAACAATAAAAAAACTGGTCTAAGTTTTTTCGTTGGGGAAGAGAATCTTTAGAAGATGACCCACGTGAAGGATGACCTGTAATAATGACTACTCCAGAAAATATTGAATCTGTGGAACATTTGGTTTTAAGTGATCGTCGACTGAAAACGAAAGCACAAACTGTACTTTCAAAAACAGGTGTTCTAATCCTTCAAGAACTTGTGCAAGATGGGTTCCCCGAATTCTTAGTGCAGTTGAAAAGCAGCGTTGCGTTAAATGTTGTGAAAATTTCTTAGAGCTTTGTCGTGAGAACCAGAATGCAGTTATTGAATCAACTGTGACGGCTGACGAAACTATGATTCTTAACCATAGAAAATCATAATCCAACATCCAAAAGGGATTCAATGGAGTGGCATAGAAAGGGAGAGCCGGTACCTAAAAAAGCTAAGGTCACCCAAAGCTCTAAAAAACTCATGGCTACAACATTTAAGGACTGTGAGGGAGTCCTTTAGATCGATTTCAAGAAACGTAACACAGTTGTAAACGCGGCTTACTACGGCGAATTATCACGATAGTTACGCCAAAAATGGTTGAGAAAACACGAGGAAAAATTATTCAAGGTGCTCGATTGCTTCATGACAATACTCCAGTCCACGGAGCTGCTATTTCCAATTTTACAGTTAAAGAATGTGGCTTCACAGAGATTGATCACCCCCCTTTCAGTCCTGACCTGGCCCCTTCGGAGTACTTCTTGTTTTCCAAATTAAAATTAGACCTCAGAGAAAAAAGGTTTGCAGATAATGAAGAAATCAAACAAGCTGTTTATGACCATTTCGACAGTAAGAATTCGGCATATTTTTATTAGCGGTAAAGAAGCGTTAATTATACGTTATGTAAAATGTGTTGCAATAAAGGGAGAGTATATTGAAAAATAATATTCATTTTTTTTTTTTACACGAATCCTTGTACTTGAAGGATTAGGCTAAGAACTCATGGATCGCACTACGTATCGAAGTGCATATAAAATATCATTTTCTAAAGAAAGATATATTTTAAAGGAGCATAAAGCAAGTTTAACTTTATCAACTGCTAGATAAAAAATATCATTCCATAAAATAGTATCCTTACGTTTTCTGTTATGGCAACTTAATATCTGTTTTTTAGGAAATGTCAATAGAACATTGCATAAGTTTTCAATATATGAGTTATAATTTTTATACGAGCTCTCCGTCTTTGTCATTAAAAAAATGTTGAGACTTCGAGAGTATAAACTAATGTATTAAGTATTTTTTTTATAATTTAGACTTTTTTATAAGATTTTAATATTTTTTCAACAGCAAGTTTTAAAAATCAGAATGAAATTTTGAATACTACCCAATAGCCCAAAATCAATGTATTGAAACTTAAATCGGCTACTGCAATTTTTGAATTTTCTTCTAAAATAGATTGCGCAACAGTGGAAGAGGAATTTAACGTAAATTAAAATTAGTATTCCAGGATTTTTTCTTTCAATTTAATTGTTTATTAAAATTTATCTCTACTATTTTTAAATTTCGTATATTTCAATCAACCATCAATTTCTCATAATTTTAAAATAGATGGATGTCACTTAATATTATATTGGCGGAAATACTTCTTGCCTTTAAATACTATCATCGCCTATTATATTCCCACCGTTACAGCACACTTCTATGTATGGAAATAAATCGAATCGAGTAGGGAGAATGAGCCAAAACTCACCACGCGAGTCTAATGTGTATTGATCTAGCTTCTTATCGTCATCAGCCAAACGACACCCACTACTGAGCATAGGCCTCCCCCATAAATCTCCAAGACGATCGGTCATGCGCTGCCAACATCCAGTGGCATTATCCAGCGTTTTTATTTGTTAATGTAGCTCTGATAGTATATTATCACTTGATGTTTTTACAACAGAAAAGAAGACACCTGAATCAGACAGGCAATTTTTATTAGATCATAATTGGAAGTTTGAAAGAGGATGCATTATTTTTCATTTGTTTTTTTATGAAACACGGGTATTTATCACTATTATTGATTTTTAAAATAAGGAACGGTGTTAAAATTTATATACATTTCAAATGACTGCCCATGTAAGGTTGACCATACCGTAATGATTGTATTACGATGCCATATATTAAATAAAATAACGTCATTTGTCTTTAGACATGGGTGATCGTCTGGAACGTTCGACTACCCTTTTTTATCGACATTAGACTATTTTTTTTATCCCAAAACTTTCATTGAAAGTCGATAAGCCCGAATACCGAAAGTTCATCTACCAAACTCAAAGAGGAAAATAGATAAAAGTCCTTTTTGATGCAGATATTAAAGATTATTGATCTTTGTGATTTTTCGAATAAAATTTGCGATAGAGCCTCCACTCTCAATCGGACAATATATTAGATACCATTTGCAGGAATAGACGACGACAGGTCAACCCCCTACATAGGGTTTAGGTTGGCCTGAAGGATTAGTTTGTTTCGTCCATTGGGACAGTAGGTTGGCATGAAATTATTCCTACGCTTCAAGTTACCGTCAGATTTTAGAAAAATAGTGAAAAAAGTAGATACAAATACCTTCACGTAGATATGATTTTTTTCACAACTAAAAAAGGAGATTGCTTTATAAGTACCTATGTTCTGAGATATTATCGTCAATTTACTATCCACTTAGATTAAATTTGTTGTGAACAATCACTGATTTTAATATTTTTACTAACATTACAAAGTATAATTTGTTCTTCTGTTTTTTTTTTGTATTTGTTTGTGAATAGGCTCCGAAACTACTGAATCAATTTTGAAAATACTTTCACCTATGGAAAGCTATATCACACGTTATATGGATTCTTTCACCAGTATCAAGCTACAATAACAGCGACTTACTTATGCTACACGTTTTAGTGAATAAAAAAAGTAGGCGCCTGCAATCTAAAATTTGTAGGTATGCGAATTATACCTAACATATGTAAATTACGTGCAGTTGGCAACACTGGTTACCATACTGTTCGAATATAGCGGAAGGGTAGTCTGGAATAAATGACGTCATTTATCAACCAGAGGTATGTGTCGTAGGCAACGAATGACACCAGCGTATATTACGGGCACACGGCCGTGCACAGGCTTTTGTTTGAAAAAATATATTAGAATTTAAAACAGGTGTTGTTAGCGCAACATTTTTACTTTAATGGCCGAAATACAAATGCTCACGATTTATATTGTTTATTTGGAGTATTTTTTTTAATCAAAGCTTTTAAAGGTAAAAGTTGTATAATATTAAGGATTGTTAATATTTAAACAATTGACTTATTGAATAGTACATAATAGTGCAGAATACGCGTGCACTATGGTTTTTTGTTACAGTAAATTTTCAAAAATAGGTAACAACTTACATTACGCCACTGTCGCCGAAATAGGAACAGACATCCTGTAATCCATGTATGTGTACTGTACACTCCTGATATCCTAATAGACCCAATTAACTTTGCAATTTAATTTTCTAATATGACAATACGTGTATTTTTTGTAGATATATAATGTGATTACGAACTGAATAAAAACTGAATGTTTTTCTCTCTCTACGTGTGTGTGTGTGCTTGCGTGTGTGCATGCGTGTGTGCATGCGTGCGTGCCTGCGTGCGTGCCTGCGTGCGTGCCTGCGTGCGTTCATGCGTGCGGGATTTCGGTTTACGGACAGCGTAGTCGTATGCCACTGATCATAACAAAACAAACTGTTATTACATATGACTATGTTTTCCTTTCGTTGCTATTATAATACAGCTATCGCTATCAAATAAATGTCTTGTTTCAAACTTTTTATAGCGTCATTTAGCTGTAATCGAGTTTTAGTTTTTGAACTTATTTTTTTATAGTTTCAGTGTTAATTACCTACATATAGGTATTATATGAAATATACGTAGTCTAGATTTATAGCTGTTTCGATTATGATGAGAATTATGTTTTCATTAAAAATAATGTTCCTAAAGGTCACGAGGGCAGGATATCTCGCGTACTTTGCACGCCAGGGTTAGGTTAAGCTTAAAAATAACGAGGTCATTTGAGTTAATTTAAATAATCTTTAGGTTAACGTTGCCCACTTTTTTTATTGTTATGGTAGGAATATAAAATATGGAATTAAAAGTAAGGTCTTTGAACGTGCTATTTATTGCAAAAGCTCTTAAATGTGTAATGTGTACGTGTGTGCGTGATGTGCTAAACAATATGCATGATTAAACGGTGGACCCAATTTATTTATCCGCTGAATAGCTTCATATAATTCACAATTGAAAAACGCTTATGTGTCTGCCCGGAATTAGGGAGGTGAGAGCTCTTTTGTTCTTCTGCTGAATTGATGGAGGTAACATCGTTAACGGTCTCACTAATCCTTCGAATACAAATTTGCTGAATGATGAGTTTCGCTAACGGCTTACTAGAACCATCAAGGTTTTATTACCTCTTAGTTTTATTACATAAATAAAAAAAGCTTGTTTAAAAGCCCTTGTAAGTAGTTTGGATATCGGTATTATGATACGAAGAAATCGTTTTTAGTTGACTATAACGGAGTTAAAGAAGAATGATCAAAATTATATGGAGTCTAGGCAATACCAAGATTAATTTGGATATTTTTTGTTGTAGTTTAGTTCTACAATTATCGTGGTAAATTTTTATGTCACCACGTAGGTATATGTAAAACATATAAAATACATTTTCCTTTTGAGTACTTTGGATAGTTTTATTACGGTACGTTACAGTTATTATAATTTAGTAATTCATACCTAAACTAAAATAAGAGTATCTTGTGATTGTAAATGTTTTCTTTGCAATTAGTAATTTCCTCGCTGAGGTGGGATGAAAAGCTATGTGTAACACTCGAGTGCGATAATTTTTCCCCTCATGCTCCCTCGCTAATGCTCAGAATTGTAACTTTTGAATCACGAGCGCACTTATTTTGATAAAATAAATTTGGTATACGGATAATTCGAAACCTGAATAAATATATAGTCTACTTTTTAACTCATTAAACTCTAAAGTCGCTGGCTGAAAGCTGGTAATAATGTTGAAAATTTAAGAAAATAAACTACCAGTTCATCAAGATTAGAGATATCTGCTACACAAGCACTAACAGAAATTAAGAAAAGGACTAGGTCGGAAGAATATCTTCAGACTTTCAAACCAGTTCGTGATTTTATGTACTGGAAACGTTAGGATGACCCAGTGGCGGATTAAGAGTTTCCGAGGCCCTAAGCACAGAGGCTGTGTAGGCCCTCTATTGCTGGAAGGAAGTATAAAATGAAAGTTCATCGAAATAGAAAATGTAGTAGGTATAATTTAAAACTTAAAACACTTTTTTCCTTGCCTTATTCAGAGCAAACTCCGAGATTACATCGTCGAAATTTATCTGACGGAGTATGTCTGCCTCAATACACATTAATGCTAAAGAATTAAGCTTGTCTTGACAGATTTTTGTTCTTTGTGGGTTTTTTAATCTTTTCAGTTGTGAGAAGGATCGTTCAGCAGAGCAGTTAGTAATCATTAAGCTGTGAAAGATTCTAAATGCCACTTCTATGTTTGGGAAAACGAACTTTACTTTATCCTTAATAATCATTTCATATAGATCGGAATGGGTGACCTTTGTTTCTGAAGCTTCATATTTTATTCGAACATATTTAAGAAAATGATTAAATTCGCCGAGGAAGTTTTCATTGAAGTCTTCTGGGTAAGCTTCTATCAGTACTTGGATATCGTTTTCATATTCTGAACATGATTTATTTAGATCCGCAAGAAATGAAAACTTTTGTGAAACTTCGTGGTATACCTCACCTCTTGTTTGCATTTGAGCATTAAGTGTGTCAATTATTACATTGAAAGTCTCAATGCGGGATTTGTCTCTAGGATTCAAATCAACTTCTTCTGCATTTCCATCATTTACTTGTTTTTTCCTAGTTCGTCTTCGAGTTTCCTTATATTCCCCATTAGGAAATATTTTTCTTGCCGCGCCTTCAAATTTTTCAAAATGATTCCTCATTTCAACGAGATGATCCGATAAAGAATGATACAAATTGGCACACGTTTTAAGATCTAATCCTTCTTCTTGTAGCCCTTTACTGGTGCGACGAAAAACTTGAAGAATATCATTCCACAAAGTGAGCATAAATATAAACTCAAACTCTTGCATTTTGTTTGAAATATTTTGTGCTTCTAGCCTAGTCTCCCCTTTTTGGTTTATGTCCTCAGCAATTTCATCTAAAGCATCTAAAATTTTCGAATATGATTGTAATATTGCACTCGTAGCTACAGCGTGAGCTTCCCAACGAGTGTCCGACAGTGACTTAAGAACGCTATCGTTGTTTATTAATTTCTTTAAAACTGCCCACCGGTGAGTAGAAGCCGAAAAAAAAGTGTATAACAACTGCGCAGTTGAAAAAAAATTCACTGCGATCGTACAACAATCAACAGCACTGCGACCAATCAAGTTTAGAGTATGTGCAGCGCATGGTATAAATGCAGCATATTTATTATGCTCTAAAATCTTTTGCTGCATCCCTTTGTATCGTCCTGACATATTAGCAGCATTATCATATGATTGTCCTCTACACTTTGCAATATCTATTTTGCAACCCTCTAGATAACTGAGGACCATATTTGCCATCTCTTCTCCGGTATGACTTTTTAAATTTAAAAACGTTAGAAATCGTTCCATGGGCTTACCATCAGACGGCGATACGTATCTCAAAATAATACTTAGTTGATCTGTATGTGATAGATCAGGCGTAGAGTCCACTGAGAGGCTGAAGTATCCAGCTGATTGTATTTCTTCGACAATCACTTTGTGAACTTTATTACTCATTAAATCGATAAGCTCGTCGCATACTGTTTTCGATAGATATGATGGATTGCCTTTCCCTTTATTTCCATATCTTGCAATATGGCTTGCTAAAAATGGATCAAATTGAGCCACAAGTTCAAGTAAACCCAAAAAATTGCCATTGTGTATAGATCCAAAAGACTCATCATGTCCCCTAAAGGCCAAACCACGTTCTGCAAGCGTTTGTATAACTGCAATAACTCGTTGCAATACATTTTGCCAATATTTTCTTTCTTCTTTTACTTGTGCCTCTAGATTTTTGGTGATTCCTAGACCTTGTCTTCGACTCAAATAAGTTAGCATAAAGTCCTTATGAGCTGAACTGTTTTCATGGTGCTCAATTGCAATTACATTTCGCCAATCACTAAATCCATCAGCTGCAAATTGGCTCGGCGCTGTGGCGATGCATTTGTTACCAAACAACTTGCAAACAAAGCAATACAAAGATCCTTTTATTTGTGAATATAATAACCATTCCCGTTTATATGTTTCACCGTTGGCTTTTTTACCGAAAAATAGTCGTGGTGTGCAAAAACGGACACTTTTACCACTAGCATATGTACGGCGTGATTCATGAAATGGGCCCTGATGGTGTTGACAACTTTCTGGACCGTGATCAATCCAATAGCAAATATCTTCCTCAGAAAATTCCGTCCACAGCCCAGCATCTGTTTTTTTATTAGAATTAACGAGTTCAATTTCTGAAACTTCAGGAATCGCAACAATAACAGGTTCAGATTTATCGGGAACAAGAACATGTGTTTTAATTTCACCAGTTAATTCATCGTCATCAAAATAATCATCTGAGGGGCCCATAGTACTGTTTTTATCAATTTGTGTTGTAACAGATGATAAAGATTGAGATTCTTGACGTACATTATTATCTTTGCCAGATTCTGACTGATTGCTTGAAAAAAACGATGTCAATTTTGGAAGAGCATCTGTTTTTTTCTTCTTCAGTTCTGCCTGTTTGCGTTTTTGTGCGCCACTGAGATGATGGCGTTTCATTTTTAATGTTGATTATTAGCATCAATAACAAATATCACCTTCTGTATACGTACTGTGCTTGCGTACCTAACTGAAAGAAATTTGTTATAATTAAAATTTATAATAGGGACCTTTATTGCGTATGCGTAAGCTGTGTAGGTTATTACAATAATTTAAGTGTTTTATAAAATTACTGAAAATAATTTATTTTATCGGGCCTATGTTCAGCAATAGACGTCTTCCGGCTGCCGGCTGAAATGATGAGGAATTTATTTTTAATATAAGAAAACAATATAAAAATATTTAGGTACTATTTTCTTATATTAAAAAAGGAAAATTTACTTCAATAAAGTGTTTTTTTTTCTACTATACGTTTCCTTCTGTCTGTACCAAGATTCGGTTTGAACAATGGACCTTTTTTATTTTGAAAGCAGGTCCAGCCCTACGTAGCCTACCTGATATAAGGTCTGTTCCAACAACAGTTCAAACTAGTTCAGAACTTTACAGAGTTTGCGCAATACCACTTTACCGTTCCTAAAATCATACTGCGGAAACTCAGTAAAGTTCCGAATTGGTTCTGAACTGGTTTGAACTATTGTTGAAACAAACCTATAAGTAGGTCCGGCAGCTAATCCCGCAGGTTTAAAATGAATTAAAGTCTGTACCAAATAAATTAATGTTGCGTCATGAACTTATGCGGTTGTTTAAAATTCAAAATCACAAGTAATTAAAAAATCTAAGTATTTTTTCCTTTAAAACGTCAGTAGGTAATGAATACTCACGAAAAATCAAGTTTTATGTAAGTTTCCTCTATTGGAATTGCATTGTAGTAATAAATTATAATGTCTTTTGTTTGAAATGATCTTATTGTTATACGTACGTATACGGAAGTGTGCAGCTGGCCGGTCGAACTTTTTACAGTGAAAATTTCACAGTGATTGTCTATCTAATTTCTTTATACGTGTAAGTACAGGTAGTCCCCAACTTATGGATTCCCGCTGGATTCCCTGACTTTTGGATGACTCGTAGATATGAACGCACGTTATGAACCGATTTTTACCGAACTGAGCATGGAATAATGTATTAGTTACTGATTCGACTTATAAAGATGATCTTGGTGAGGAATTTTTCATAAGTCGTGGACTGCCGTAACAAAATGGTTTAACTTATAAACATGACCTTGGTGGGGAATTTGTCAATAAGTTGGGGACTGCTTGTAATCAATGGTGAAAGCATAATTATAGAACTTACCTGACAACTTTGTGTGGGGTAACGATAAGTATAGTTTCAATCAAAGTCACTTCGTAAATAAAGTAGGTACGTGTGGTATGCGTACGTGCGCTATCATTTGCAAAGTAAAAACAACTATAGCTCGACAACTTCGTCCGCAACCCGCACGCGGGGTACATACAGGCGAGGCGGGAGACGCGGTCTACGGTCTCGGCGGGGGTGCGCAGATGTGGCGGGCGGATGAACAGGCACTTAACGCTAGCAGAGAATGGGGCCCCCTGGAGAACAGGGGCCCCAAGCACGTGCTTTTAGTGCTTATACGTTAATCCGCCACTGGGATGACCCGTCGACCCGATAAAATAATGTGAGAATAAGACTGATCACATAATGTTAAAAACTCGCGGTGTAATATTTTTGTAAACCACTCATTTGTTTTGTGATTCGATATCGAGTAATATGTATGAAGAATCGAAAATTACAAATGAAATTACATAGTAGAAGCGATATCAGTTATGCAATTTCACGTCATGCATGGGTAATCAATGTGAAAATATTATCATATTACATTATTCAATTTGGCAAAATATAAATGTATGTAAAATATATGAGTAACTCAGTACTGCGAGTACGGCATGTTGTAATGTGACGTCACACTTCCATAGCACACCAAGGCGTTTATGAAAAAGATAGAAATTAAAACAATAATTATTTCAGAACTACTCGCTCGATTTTTATGAAACAAAATCAAGCGTATTTCTGTACTACATGGACATGTTTCAAGCGATGTGACGGACCCATTGATATTTCTTATTCATTTTTTTTATTTGTATTATTTGAAGCATTGTTATTTCTCTTGTAATTAGTTAATTTTTTTTTGCCACCCATTTCAGACACAAAATTTAATAAACTTAGGTATCAGCCTTTTCAAAAACTAACGTTATTTATTACTAGCTATTTTCCCGCTACTTTGCGTTGGAAAATCATAGCCTATGTTAACGCCGTATAATGTAGCTACCCGTAGGTGAAAGAGTTTTTAAAATTGGTTCAGTAGTTTCGGAGTCTATTTTATGCAAACAAACAAATAAATAATCAAATCTTTCCTCTTTATAATATCAGTATAGATGTACCTATAATACCGTGTAGTACCGGTATGGAATTGTACTACTCCTTTTCATCCCGTGGGTGTCGTAAGAGGCGACTAAGGGAAATTTATTCCAAGGAGATGGGCAGCAGCGTCTTCTTATGCGGGCCACAGAACCGGACCAAACTGCGATCGCCAACTCGCTTGCCCAGCGTGGCGATTATGGGCATATCCCCCAAATGCGAAAGCACAAAAGGCCACGGCCCCTAGTTCCCGGCGGCCTCGCTATTCCTGGTCATGGTGGCGACCATAGTAACGGCGAGGCAGGGGGTGCTAAGAATCTCCGGGCTACGGGAGGCCACCACAACCGACTGACCCTGGCGACGTACAACGGACGCACGCTACGGCTTGACTCGCATCTGGCGCAACTTGAGGTAGAGCTTGGAAAGATTAGGTGGCACATATTAGGATTGTGTGAAGTCCGAAGAGAGGGGAAGGACACCATAACCCTCAAATCAGGCCACCTAATGTACTTCCGCGAGGGAGACCAACAATCCCAAGGTGGCGTTGGGTTTCTTGTCAATAAGTCCCTTTCTGACAACGTTGTAGAAATTTACAGTGTGTCGAACAGGGTAGTGTACCTGATTGTAAAGCTCACTGAGAGGTATAGCCTCAAGGTTGTTCAAGTGTACGCACCGACCTCGACACACTCGGACGATGAAGTGGAGAATATGTACGATGATATATCGAGGGCACTCCACTTCACTACTAAGACCCACTACAGTTTTAACGATAATTAAATAAAAAATGGCTAATATATGCACTGTTTTACGTAGTTATAGTATAGTATATTACAATATATGTTATTATTTTATGCAAATGAATAGAGTCTACTGAAAAACACAAATAGGACCCTTTATCCACATTTTTTTCCATACCACTAGAGAAGTACGGTAACCATCTCGTACTGCATAAAAGTTTTTAGGTTATGTTCCGTAGTGGATCTGATTTCGCATAAAAATATATTTAATTTAATTTATATGGTATGCTAAGCACAATTCCGTTTCTAAGTTGATTAGTATTAATTACTCATTATATCTGGCCACTTATTCTTAATTAGTTCCTAAGCCCGCCGCTCAATACGATGTAGGCGCCACAAGCATAACCGCCTTTTTTCAAACACGAAGTTCAAGACATTGTGCTTTGAGTGTTACGCGCGGCTACATAATTGATTTCTCTTAACAATAAATTTCGTTCATTACGTGCGTGAGATATCATAAAATTCGAAAAGAACTTTTCCCGCTTTACTATAAGCGTTTTCGGTGTGAAAAACACAAGGAGTTAGATATGAACAGTGACCTAGGATAATTTCGTGTGGTCACTCACGCGCCTTGACCGTTGTCTCGAGGGAACGTGCTGGCCCGGCTGAGGTGAAAAGAGGCGAGTGGCCAGTCTTCTTAACAGGTTATATTGCAAAATATTTCATTTTTATCCACTGTCGCTTATTAATAAGACACCAGCTCAATAACTGTGCTTAACCATGCCCAAATTTCAGCGATGCCTTGCTAATTCAACCTTTCGCGATGTCAACTTATGAATCGCGGGCGATAACTCGGTATTCCTAGAGTTTTAATTTTGTATTTATTCTCTCGTATCACGCTTTGATTTTTGTACCTTAGATTTTTTATAGTAACATTTTTTCATTTCTGTTGTTCAAAAATTCCATCATTATACTTATACTCCATTCATTATAACATTAGAAAAAAGAGGGCCATAGAAGCAGCAGTGCAGAACATTATATTTTCAAGATAAATTTAAAAGATATATTATATTATAGTTTTCTTAATTCATCTTTTACTCCCAAGCCAATATGGAACTAAAAGTATCTATCTGTTGTTTTGATAAATTCTAATTGTAAGTGTATATAATTAGAATAGATTTTGGTTATATCTATGCCCATGAAAGAAAGGTAAATAAAATTAAATTTTTAGTATCACTTTTATAACATTTATGCAAACATTAGACTATTGATGAAGACATTGGAAAAACTTCCTGAAATGTCAAATGTTGAGGGTAGGTTTGGGGGCTTAGAGCCTAATTGTTGTAGGTCACTCAGGCCTGCATCAGTACATATTTAACAAAACTTAACAACGAAACAAAAATAAAACAATAACAACTTAAGCACGGAAAACGGCAAAACAACAAGAAAGGCAAGGGATTAGCCAACGTTTTAAATTTGGTAGAGTTATAGTGATATGAGAATCGTGCCGAAACTATCCAACCCTGCTTCTTTAGGTTCTTTAAGATGAACACTTTTTATTGTAATAGTTATTAAATTATTTAAGTTAGTCAAATACTTACTCATAAATTTGTTAATTAATAGTTTAAATGACAACAGTTAAGTATAGCTGCTGATATTTAAGTGGATATGTAGCAAATTAGCCGTCAGTCTTAAAAGTAACATGATTATTGATATTTTGTCACAAAGTTTACCATAAAAAGAACCTTATTTAACTTCTGTCTAATGCTATAATGAATGGAGTATAGAGTTCAGCTAAAAAAAAGCGAAAAGCGACGCTTAAGTTGCATTAATTAAGGAAAATGTATATTTTTATTAAATTGTGTAAGTAACCAAAGAGTATTTAATAAGATGAGAACCCTTTTTTTTGTAAACTCAGTGACCTTAGCGTGCATGCATTGCATTGTGGCCATTAAGTTTAGAATTGTGGTGTGTGTGGTGCGGTTAACTAAAATAAAACATTGGTTAGCGTAACACAGAATCTTTAAATTTTTCCCCTTCTCACAATAGGGATGACGACTATTTTTTGTTTGTTTGTCCGTCAGGTAGAGTGTTAAAAATATTAAACACGTATTTT